GGATGAGGAGTCAGGTAGAGAGAGTGAGGGAGGGACCCATGGGCCAACACCTTTCTTGGGGTCCAGGGCATTATCCAAGCAGGTTTTAACTGGTGGGTTTAGAGCAAGCAGGCATAAGTTCCAGGAGGTCACACATGACTGAGAGGTGATCTCCCAATCTGTGCACTTCATGCAGGGAGTAGGGGTCAGCAGGGCCAGCCAAAGCTGTCCCACAGGGAAGTGGTCACTAGGAGGAGGCTGCGTAAGGCGCTATCTGGATTCACCACTTTGAGGAACACTCAGGGTAGAGGGTTTGGAGCTGGAAACTGTCATCGGTGACTAACCAACAGAATTTTTAATTGTGCCGCTCTCTGGGAGTAATTCAGCATCCCATCTCTTGGGAGAGACACATGAGATGAGGAAAGGCAAAGTGATCTGTCAAGCACAAAACCACTAACACGTGAGCCGCACAGAGATTTCCTGAATTACAGTCTTGTTCTGGGTCTGCCAGCAGCTGGTTGTATTTCTCATACTTCAGACATTCTTTTGTATAACTAATTGTATTTTGTGGATTTTCCAATAGTAATAGCATTCTAAGAGGATGAAAAATACATTGACTTTCATATATAGAAATTTTTTTCAACTCAACAGAACATGCTGAATGTCAGCTGCACTCAAAGTGCCTTAAGGGATATGCAACAAAGTGTCCCTTTGAGTTGTCTTTGCTGTAGTTTTCATCTGTCTTGCTGCTGTGATTTGAATGTGTCCCCTAAAAGTTCATGTGTTGGAAACATAATTGCCATTGTAAGTATTAAGAAGTGGGACCTTTAGGATGGGATTAGGTCATGAGAGGTCGGCCTCGTATATGATTAATGCCATTATCGTGGGAGTGGGTTAGTTACTGTGGAAGTGGGTTCCTGATAAAAAAGATGAGTTTGGCTCGATTTCCTCTCTCTGTCTCATGTGCTTGCTCACCATGTAATGCCTTCTGCCCTTCCGCCATGGGGTGACCCTCACCAGATGTGGGTGCCATGCTCGTGGACTTCCCAGCCTCCAGAACTGCGAGCCAAGTAAACTTCTGTTCATTATAAATTACTCAGCCTGTGGGATTCTGTTATAGCAGCAGAAAATGAACTAAGATAATTACCAATTAGATAAAATGCACACCTATATTTTAAAATTTTTATTATAAAAATTTTCGGGCATAGAGAAAAAGTGGAAGAATTGTACACTGAACACTCACATACCCACCAACTCATTAAAGGATAATTTTCTTAGAATGTTGCAATCATGACTCTTACTAATATAAAATGAGTGTTACTTAATTCATTACTTAATGAGGGAACCAGAAAGCTGTTATGTCCTGCTGAAAGGAGTATGGAATGAGCACACCACTGAGAGTGCTGAAATGCCTTTGATTCAGAAGTGCAAAACTGGCCTCTTCTGGAGTGGGAGGAAAGTCAGTTGAACCTCCAGTGGGAAGATTTTGCATGTCTGTGGACAAGAATTCTTACATTACTGTCAGTTTACTGCACTTGACAGAGTTGTAAAAGGCTCAAAGACAATGAAAGGCATAAAGCCCACAGAATCAGATAACCCTGAAGGGTGTGTCTGCAGCCATGCACAGTTTCCCACTGAAGTCACCCAGTAATCTTTTGTTCCATTTAAGTCTTTTCACAATTTTCCTCTGCAGTTTTCCTCCCTTGTGATCAAAATAATCTCAAATAGTCCAGAAGTGTATGTGTAGTAAACAATGCCAAGTATTTCACAATTTTTCCCTCCCGCCTTGATTGACAAGTGTTAACTTTTTTACTCTATTTACTTTGTCGTGTATTTATCTATTTCTCCATCAATCCTCTTATTTTTTAATTTATTTTCAAGTATGTTGGAAGCATCAATACACGGCATCTTCTTAGGAGTCTCCTTGATTAATCAAGAGAATCATGCCGGCTATATTTTCAAATTCCTAACTTAAGAGATCAGATAAGCAGATATGCTTACTGTTCCTATAGATTGCTCTATTCATTTCATCACTATTTCAGTCCTGGGTGCATTTGTCTCACAGCCCTAACAAGTGCATCTTTCTTGGCCCTGGTCAACATCATACTCTAGGGAGGACTTGCCTCTTTTAGGTTCTGAGGCTAGACCATGTAAATGAACCTTTAGTCTTCTGTATTTCTTGACAACATCTGCAAGTTAGGGGAATAGAGAAGCACAGTATACTTTTTGGTTTGGATTTTCTTGCCCTCTGTATATTTTTTCTTTCCATTTAGACTTCCATTTAGCATTTCGACTTTCCTTGAAAAAATTCCTCTCCTTCAGCCTGGGATGGGATGTACCAGTCTATGGTTGACTTGAATCTATGCAAACCTTCCTTTCCTGACACCGATAGGGGTCTTTCCCATGGTTCTCTTTTCCTGAATGATATTAATAGATAAGATGTTAATAGAATAGAGTAGTAGATTATATGAGTACATATAAATTGTGTGTGTGTATATACATGTATATGAAGTACAGCTGGCCCTCCACATCCATGGGTTCTACGTCTATGAATTCAACCAACTGCAGATGAAAAATAGTCAGGAAAAAATAAGGATGGTTGCACCTGTACTGAATATATACAGATTTTTTTCTTGTCATTATTCTCTAAAGAATACAGTGTAACAACTACTTATATATCATCTACATTGTATTAGGTATTACTATAATCTAAGGATGATTTAAAGTATACAGGAGGATGTAGGTAGGTTATATGCAAATACTACACCATTTTATATAAGGAACTTGAACATCCATGGACTGTAGTGCCTTTGGGGGTCCTGGAACCAGTCACCCACGATACATACAGGAGTGACTGTGTATGTATGTTTACATATGATGTACAGTCATGCTTCACTTAACTACGGGTTTACATTCTTAGAAATGCATCATTAGGCAATTTCATCTTTGTGCAAACATCGTAGAGAGTATAGACAGCAGCCTAAATGGTATAGCCTGCTACAGACCTATAGATGGTACAGCCTATTGCTGTGATGACTATCCTATCAGAGGTCCATCGTTGACTTAAACATCATCATGCAGAGCATGACTGTGTATAGAGATAGATGGATAGATATCAGCACTTATTTCCCATTTTGTAATGATCCATTTATTAACAATATTTAATAAAATATTTTTGAGTGCTTATTGTCTGCCAGGCATTGTTCCAGGTGTTGGGGATAAAGCAGTAAAGCAAGCAAAAGCTCCTGCCCTCACAGAGCTTACCCTGCAATTGAGAGAGATGGGCAATGATAGCAAACAAGATGAACGTGGCACGACGAATGTCAAAAGGAAGTGGGGAGAGAAGGGTGTGTGGTGTGGGGCTGCAGTTCTAGCCAGGTGGTTACGAGATAGGCTCGCTGAGAAGGTGACTTCTGAGCAAAGGCCTGAAGGAGATGAGAAGCCCTGTGGGTATCTGCAGAAGGAAAATTCCAGGCAGAACAAACAGCAAACGCCAAGGCCATGGCTGGAAGTGCACGTGTCACATTCAATGAAAAGTGTGGCTGCAGCAGGTGAGGGGAGAAGTCAGAGGTGAGGGCGAAGGGCACAGGGGCATCTTTCGTGGAGCGAAGTCATGGAGAGGAAGCCTCGCGTCGTGGAAGTCAAGGAGTCATCAAGACCATTTCCTTTTCCTTTCCCCTGCACCCTGTGGTCCTAGAGATGGGTGCTTCCCACAGTGGAACCCTACAGGCTTCTTTTGGATGGTTCTGCAGAACCACTGGGGCTGGTCACAAAACTGGGCCTGTGTATTTTCATTCAAGAATGACTGACACTGAAGAGCAAGATGAGGTTTCAACCAGTATCTTGATGACTAGAGACTCCTACGTAAAGGTCTTGTCTCCAGACTTAAGCCAGGCAGTTGTTCCATTTGTGCTATCAGAAATAGGAAAGAGCTAACAGTAGAATATTCTACAGAGACAACCAAAGAGACAGGGACGCAGCCATCTGTTACCTTATCCATCGCTCTTGGGGGTTGTTCCTTTGAATATCTTTTTGTTTCATATTACCTCTTCATTCTTCCTTCTCCACCTTCCTTGAATGTACTTATGTAGCACCCAGGCCCCTTGAATTCTGTCATTCTAGTCAACCCGAGGTCATTTGAATGTCTTTCGTTCCTTCTTTGCATTTACTTCACATTGATCATTTAAGACATCAGTGAATGTGCAATGGTTATGCTACACAGTGGTTGCTTTGAATTATTAATATCTCATATGAATTACAAAAGTAGAGGAATAATGTGAACTCATTTCTGCTTATATGTATAATACACGCACACACTCCCATAGAATTAATATTTGGCTGAATATATTACCAAATTGTTAAATAATAGTCATTTCTGGCTGGTGGAATTACAAGGAATTCATATTTCTAATTATATATTTCCATAGCATTTAAATTTTTTGCAATGTGTATTTTAAAAAAAATATTTAAAATCTTTTATTTAAAAAAAATGTTATAATTCCAGTTAATAGCAAATGCCAGCACAACAAATAAGTTCCATTACCTATGCCTCTGTATGCAAGAGATTTGTTGGCCCATGCAACAAAAGCACAGACATACGTGCACATTTTCTGAAACCAGAATGTGGTGGCCTAGAAGCCTTAGGAAAAGTGGTTGTTAAGCCTGCAAACATGCTCTTCTTACTCCTCCTTCCTTTGAACTCCGTAAAGACATTGACACATTTGGAGGTCTGCTAGCTGTAACTGGTAGGACAGACTTCTAGAGGGAAATATTAAATATTTGTTTTTGCTCTTCTACCTCATGCCTGGATTATTTGGGATTGGTTTGAGGATAGTATCTGAGTTTCTATCTCTTGGGCTATTTTTTCCAGGAATATAAAGTTTTTTTCTTTGATATATGCTTAAATGTTTATTTTTAAATGACGTAACTTTTCGAAAAAACTTATTAAAGTTTATTTGTGTGGGAAAAATATTTTTTATATTTTTGACTGTTTTTTGTTCCTTCTCTTTTGAAATCTCTAGCCAACAAGAACATTAGTCATGACAAGCATGCCATCTGAGTAAGTACTCGTTGTTTTGATAACTTTCTATTCAATGTAAAATTTTAAGCTTTTCTCCCATATACTCTAATTCTCTGTACTTTTAGGCAGTTCATAGATCTGTCGTGTATCGCTTTTACTTTATATAATTAATATCTGAGTTAGAAAATCATTGAAAATAAAAAAAATGTGGTTAAATGTGTACCAATGTGGAAAACCTGGGATAAAAAAAGAAGAAGAAATATGAACAGTTTAGTGATAAAAACTTTTGGGGGGTTGTTTAGACAGCATTAAGAGGGTTTGTGCTCTTTTTTGCTATTCTTTTTGCCTGCTTAAAACCTAATGGCTTTGTCTAACTACCCCCATCCCCATGAATGTTCAGCAAATGGAGCAACGCTGACCGAAATCTTCCCCTTAAAGGTCTTAAAGAAACACTGTGGTGGAAAGCTTCCTACAGCCGTACTAAAGCAGCTATCTGCATGTTTTGTGGAAGGGTTAATAGCTTGCTGGCATGCTCTTATCATCTTCCTTAAACATTTAACACAATGAGAACATCCAACAAAAATATAGTGCTATATTCTTTGTAACAGATTTTTGAATTCCTGTTTAAAGGGGAAAACCATGATTTTTATATCAGTCAGAGGTTTTATAAGTTTTTCAGACATTCATCAAAACACTAGAACATTTCAATGAGAAATATGCTACATAAAGAGTAGACATTTAGGATCCCTTTCCTGCTTGTGGCCTGAAAATAAAAGGATGGATAATTCAAACACCATACATTAGATAGCGAAAAAAGAGCTCACTGAAAATTTTTGTACATATATTATGAAATATATTGAACATTCTAAATAGTCTAATACAGAAATGAACATTGAATATGGGTGTAATGTTTTTAAAAGTCTGTATTTTTTTTGAGAATAAAAAAATTAATAACTAGTTATTTTGTCGTTCAAGGTTTAAAAATAAAATTTTCATTTAGGCCACATCCTTTCTTGCTCTTTGTCCCGCACAGTCTTCTTGTGCTTCTTAAGAGCAGGACAGGGACATTCTGACTCCATACAGATTAACCATGCCTTGAGGAGACACTTGTTACTTATTGACACATCCAGCAAATAGCTGGCAACTGCCAGATTTGGGATGGAGAAAATTAGATATTCAGAAATGAAGAGTTCCAGAGACCATCTAGTTTAGAGGCTTTTACTTTTTACTTCTGTTTTTGTTTTCTTTTGCCTTTTTTGCCTCTATTTTTTCCACATTTAATATTTTTCATGACCTAAGTAAGCACAGATCCTCTGGTCGGAGTGGTGAGGGGGCCCAAGTCTTAAGACACACATATATCTTCTCTACCCTGGTGATCTCTAAGAATTTTGAAGTGTGATATGATTCAGCCCTTTCATTTTACAGGTAAAGAAACTGAGGGCTTGAGATAGACATACCTAAGATCACTAGAGATAAAACTAAGGAACACCGTCATTTGCAAGGAAGAGGGTTAGAGACAGTCTGTATAAGCATGGACAAAAGCCTCTGTCTCTTTGTAATAATACAATTTTTAGAGAGGAGAGGTGTCTATTTAACTCACCGTGTACATCATGGTGTGGCTCAGAACCCCTTTCATATCCTTGGTATTTCATTGGGGATTTTTGAAAATTCCTGGGAGATAGAGAGAGAAGCAATGTCAGAGCTAAGGGTGTTAGTGAGGTAATTGTAAAAGGAAGAGAAGAACTGAGAGTTATTTGGTAAGGAAGTTAGCTGGAAGGAATTTTTTTTAACAAAAGGATACTCTAAGCATTACAGAAAGGACAGAGTAGGAGAGAACTGGTGATGAGCTTTGTGAAACACAGGGCCCTCTGTCAAAGCCCCAGATTGGATCTGACGATTTAATAAAAAGGATCTTTTTCCCCTCTTCGTAGAAAAACTATGTGTTTGGCACTCAATAAATGTTGCATTTTCAAAATAAAGTAAGTAAGAATCTTGGTCTTGACCATGTGCAAATTGGTTCAAATAAGGTCTGGTTTCTGATACCGGCTCTAACGGCCCCGCACTGGGGCAGACCATTTGCAGCCTCGGGGCCTGTTTTCTCAGCCCTTAAAATAGTCCGAGTTGAGATCTCGTTTTTTTTTTTTTTTTTTAATTTATCCAAATTTCAAGTCATTAATCTTAAGACATGAGCACCATAACTGAAATAAAATTTAAAATTTTAGCTTTCTAGGTTTTTTGTTATTCTTATTATTTACCGTCATCACTTTGATGTTCATATGCAGCCCATATATTCATTTTATTTATTTTTTCCCTCTATTTGATAGAAAGCAGAATGTCGTCATCCAGGTTATGAATAAATTTGAAGGCTTTTCACTTGCACGGGAAGTCTGTGAGACTACCACTCACGTGCTCTGTGGGGAGCCCGTCCGCACCCTGAATGTGCTGCTGGGAATCGCGCGCGGCTGCTGGGTTCTCTCTTACGAATGGGTAAGCGCTGTGCTCGAACTCCGCGTTCTAAAACAAGACGCTGTGATAGATCTGGTCGTCCTGAAGTGATGACACTGGGGCTCCTGCCAGCGTGCACCCTTGTGTATCTGCACGCTCTCCTGCGAGCAGGGAGGACCGCTCTTTCCCGGAGCTTGTCCCCCTTTGCTGGCACCTTTCAGCCAGTGCCAAGTCCGAGGGGAAAAGGAGATGGGGCTGGTGGAGTGCAGGAAACTAGCAGCCTTCAAGATAAAGCAGGAATAAGATTGGAAAGATGTGGAACGAAAACGCCAAGTGCGTGTTCTCACAGTCAAATGAGCTTTACTCTGTGTTTGACCAAGAAATAACGTGACCTATGCTAGTGGTGGTTTGAAAAGCCAAAAGAATTCAGTGCTTGTTTTTACAGATGGATTTACTTAGGATGAAACATGTTCATTTAATCCCATTTGGATACATTTTATCTTATGCATATCTAGCTGTAACATTCTTTGCCCTTATTTCTGTGCATTAAAGGTAGTTTAAAAAATATATCAGCATGTTCATTATTCACAAAAATTGAAGTCTGTTAATGATTCTATTTTTACTTTGATCCTCAAGCTAAGGTCACTCAGAAGCATTGCTTTCTGATGACAGTAGCATCATTTGTTACTTGAGTTACCATTTTTCATCTGTTAAGTATCCACCCTCCCTCCTCCTCCCCCAAGAACGTATTATATTAATACTGTGTTAATTTAAGCCAGTAGAATTATAATATGCAGAAACTACAGGTGTATTTTTAAGAATAGCTATGTGGTCTTTTTTCCATGTTATAAACTTAACGCTGCAGCTCCCTGTTACAAGAGATTTAAGGGATTCGTGCTAAAAGTTGTGAAATGGAAACAGTTGACATTCCAAACATAAGTACTACTCGCATTGGTGGCAACTGGGGATTACCTCACCTAATTATACACTAGTACTGCTTTATATTTATTTGTGTGACCTACAATAGTCTCCCCTTATCCTTGGTTTTGCTTTCTGCAGTTTCAGTTACCATAGTCCGAAAATATTAAATGGAAAATTCCAGAAATAAACAATGCATACGTTTTAAATTGCATGCTTTTCTGAGTAGTACGGTGAAATCTCGGATCCTTTGCATCCTGCCCAGGACGTGGCTCCTCCCATGGCCTAGTGTGGCTCCTCCCATGGCCTAGTGTGTCTGCACTGTGGATGCTTCCTCCAAGAGTCACTCAGTCATCTTCTTGGCCGTCCCATCACCTGTCACAGTATCACAGCACTTGTGTTCAAGTCACCTTAGTTTGACCTCGTCACGGCCCCCAAATTCAAGAGTAGTGATGCAGGCAATTCTGATATGCCAAAGAGAAGCTGCAGAGTGCTTCCTTTAAGTGAAAAGGTGAAAGTTCTCGACTTAAGGAGAGAAAAATGGTATGCTGAGGCTTCTAGGATTTATGGTTAGAATGACTCTTCCATCTGTGAAGTTGTGAAGAAGGAAAAAGAAATTCGTGCATACTATATATAGGGTTCAGTACTATCTACAATTTCAGGAATTCACTGGGAATCTTGGAACTTATCCCCTTTGGATAAGGGTGGACTACTGTATAATGCATAACTCCAGCTTCTGTGAATGAATTCCCTGTTTTCTTTCTCTCCAATTCAAAACATGTCTGTATCTTCATCAATCAGCCCTTCCTTCCCTCAGGTTTCAGAAGAAAGTCAAAAATTCATGTGATTTTCAAATATGAGTTCCATTATGGAACCAGTGCAGTGCAGACAGCTTGGAATATCAACGAAGTGTTTGGGAAGGATGTGGCTAATGAATGCACAGTACGTCAATGGTTTGCGAAGTTCCATTCTGGTGATTTAATCTTGAACTTGAGCCACATGGGCAACCTGAGACCAAAGCGGATAATTATGAGCTGAAAGCTGTAGTGGAAACAAATCCATCTCAAGCCATCTCAACCTACACATGCATTAGCAGCAAGGTTTGACATTATTATTCCAACAATATTGGACCACTTGAAACAAATCGTCAAGGCAAAGAAGCTGGATAGACCGCCACTCGCTCTCCAGGCTTCTTCACTGCTGGCACAAACAATCTGCCATTAAGATGGCAAAACGGTGTCAATAGGTCAGGCTCATACTTTGATTAATTGTACCCATAAACTACCCTTTTGATTCGAAATCAGACATTTCATATTTAATGACCTAATATAAGGGAAAAAGTTAATAAATTAGACTTCATCAAAATTGAAAACTTTTAGTCTGTCGAGGACATTATAAAGAGACCAGAAAAAAAAAATTGCAAATCTCGTATCTGACAAAGAACTACGTCCAGAATATGTAAAGAACTCTCAAAGTTCAACAGTAAGAAAACAAGAACCCCCAAAAAGTTGGCAAAAGAAAAAATATTTGAATAGACACTTTACCAAAGATATACAGGTAGAAAATGAGCACATGAAAAGATGCTCAACATTATTAGTCATTAAATAAATGCAGTTTAAAACCACAGTGAAATACCCCTAATATCTATTATTAATAGAATAGCTACAATGAAAAACATCAGTGATACTGTAGCAAGGAGGCAGGACAGCTGGACTCTCAAATCTGCTGGCAGGAGTGGGAAGTGATACAGCCACCCTGGAGAATAGTTTGGCAATTTCACACAAAGTTAAATGTTCACCTACCATCTCATTCGGCAGTCCCACTCCCAGATGTTTGCCCTAGAGAAATGAGAGCTTATGTTCACATAAAAATCTATACAGGAATGTTTGTAGCAGCTTTATTTATAATCACTCAAACCTGGAAACAGCACAGGCGTCCATCTGCAGGTGAGTGGATGAATAGGCTGGTCCAGCCAGGCAGCGGAATCTGCTCGGTGATGAGAAGGAATGATGACACAGGCAACAACCTGGATGACTCTCTCATGCATTTTGCCAAGTTTAACAGGCTCGTCTCAGAAGGTCATATGCTGTGTGAAACCATTTGTAGGTCATTCTGGAAAAGGCAAAACAGTAGGGAAAGAGAAGAGATGAGTGGTTGCCAAGAGTTAAGGTGGGCATAGGGTCTGACAGCAAAGTGGCAGCACCTGAGACGTCTTTGGGGCGTGCGATTGCTCTGTGTTCTGTTAGTGGTGGTTGTTACAAGACCACGATGTGTTAAAACGCAGAGGACTGTTCACACACATGCACACACAAGTGACTTTTACTGTTTGTAAATTTAAATTAAAAAGTATTACTTAATGTGGCTCTCCAGGTGAAGATGTTTGAGCACACAGGGTCTGCTAGTTTAGCGCTGTGGTTTCAGAACCAGATTCCCTTGTGCATGCTGAACACGTTTACAGTTCTCCTGTATCTTCAACCTCTGCCTCTGTTCTAGGTGCTTCCCATCAGCATTTAAGCTCAGTCTCATCTCTTCTATCTTAAAAAAATCAAAAAAATTTTAAAAATAACTTTCCCCAGATTACTCTCTGCTTTCTGTACTACCCTTTTTCCCCTTCTTTCATGGCAGAACTTCACAAATACATGTTCATCCTCGTCCTTGCCTTGCCAGTGACACCCAAACACTTCACTATTTGTGAAAAATACCAACTCCTGGGAGACTAAAAAGGCCCGGATTTACTATGGCTTAAAGTAAAATATCTGTCCGTGTAGTTATGAACATAATTGTGATGGCTGTCAGATGTTCCCTCCAGCTGGCATGGTGTATGCATTGATGATAACAGGTTCCTACTGACTTGCACCCTCAAAAAAGAGTTTAGAAACAAGCTGAATCTCATTCTCTGTTTATCTTTCAATTACACAAAGATAACTGCTACTTCTTGCATGGCCTCCTTCCTTTAATTTTTTAACAAAATTAATTGATACAAACATAGCAAATTTCTTTGAGAAAAGATAGTTGCCACCACCATTAATAAAGCCACTCCACATAATTTCTAAAGCTTAACACCCAATTTAATGTTCAACTGCAACTTGTATGTAACTTTAGATATGAACTTCCCAGGTTGTAATTTCTTCTAGGGTCTAGGTTTGAAGTGTGCATAGTATATTCTTGAAGGATCATATTGACTTGTATGAAAGGAATCAGAGTCTCTCTTTTTCCCTCTCTTTCTCTCTCTCTCTCTGGTCCTTCTCTTTCTAACCCTGTTTCCAATGCAATTGGGGGATTCTTAAAATATTCCCTTTGGCTAGCAGTATAAACTTGCCTCCAAGAAAAACATTACTAAGAATGTTTTTATATCAGAGTTTGTGTGGTATTCTCTGGAAATTTCTTGTAAAGGAGAATTGTAGCAATCCTTCAAAATTAGATGGTTCTATGTGGCCCAGATATTCCTATCAGAAAAATAATGGTGATTTTATAACACAATTCAGTTTGAATTTTTACTTAATCTTTTTTTTTTTTTTTGAGAAGTTTCTTGGCAATTTCTACCTGTTTACATCAGTTCATCCTTCCAGCATTAACTCTACTGTTTTCAGGAAAGAGAATAATTTGTGTTCTTCCTGCTTCATGACTGAATTGTCTGGCACAGACATAGAAATAGAAAACCATGTCAAGAGTCGCTCAATTTCCTATTCATGGGAGACAGGAAGTAGCACAACAGAAAAATAAAGAAATTGATTTGACCAAAGCGTCCCAGTAGACTCGAGTTGTTTTGTCCTGTGTTGTTCAAGCACAGCGCTGTTTGAATCTCTAGAGCGTCTTTTTCTCACTCTCACTCGTTTGGTGTTTCTTATACCCCATGTGATTTATCTACAATTCTGCTCCACCTTGCGGCCCTTGCGTGGTCACTAGGACAAGTGGAGAGTCCTGTGACCCAGTCTTCCTTTTCCAGCTACCATCCCATATCCCTCTGTCCCTCTCTCAAAGACATGGAGTATCGGGGAATAATTCAGCCTATATTCAGGTTAAAAAAATGTTGATTCTGAGCAACTTATGAATAAGACCTGATAACAGGGTTTTAAAGCTAACTCAGTTATAAATGCAGATGTAGGGCTTAAAAAAGCTAAATT